GATGAAGGACGCGGTGGAGACAAAAACTATTCGAGCACACATTTACTCACAAAGGTAGTAATACAGCTACGACTACTAAGTCCAGGTGACTCAAAAGAAGACGAGAAAACTTTATCCTTACAAAAAGCAAAAAGAACCAACCAATGTCACTACGTCTGCACCGGACTGTTTCTCGTCTGAAGTCCGGCAACAACTCAATACCAATAAACAAAGGTCCGTCAACACCAACAACCAATACGGGCAGACACTCTCATCGCAACACATCCCAGACAAGCCTCACAACACGAAAGCAACCTCTCTCTCGCGCACCACTTCAGACTCTCGAACACAAACCTCTTCTCTAGCTCACTCATACGACTCTTCACTCATTAAACCGCCACACCACTGCCCATGTACAGGCTTTCGCTTTCTCTGGGCATTTTCGTCACGCACACGGCGTTTCATTAGTTACTCACGGAGTTAGAAGAAAACCCGACTGGCAACAACCCCTTCATAACGGCGCACCACACAACTCGTACCCGGGACACAACAAATGTTTCTTACACCAGATGTGTTTTTCAAATCTGTATAGCTTTATTATTCGACTCAAAACAAAAGTTAATATTCTAAACCGTTAACGGGAAAAAAAGGTTGTAAATTAACATACAAAACAAACCAAAATAATATTGTAAAACTCTATAAAAAACAATTGTCAGGTTAAGATTCGAGACTGATAGAAGTCAAATTCAGGTAACGAGAAACAACTCTGCCCCACATGAACGGTAATAAAAATACGACAAATAACGAGATACAACTTAGTTATCGTTTCTTAGACACGAATGTGATCTGCTTATAAGCAAATAGTGTTAATAAAACCCTTTGATAGAAGGTTGTGTTATTCAATACCACTGTCACTGTCGGAGCTGACATCATATGAACCAAAGCATCTCTAAGAGAACGCAACTCCTGCGCACAACAAACGGAGAAGTAGTCAGTAGGTCTTGTAAAACGGATGTGTGTGCTTTGTGTTTTCTCAAATAATCCAACAGTGGCACGACACATCGTCGAAAAGTTCGTTGGAGAGTCCGCAATCAAACACACACTCGCAACGAAGTAGCGCAGTGTGCCACAAACAGCCCTCACGCCGCACTCCTACGGTCATTGAGAAATGCCTCCCTGTCTTACGCACACACTCAACCGCCACATAAACGACCACTAGTCGTCCGTGCACGGGCACCTCCATTATTCCACTCTGGCTCGCTCTCGCGCGGCGGCGGCCACTTCAGTAAGGGGTTGGTCGTCTTTTCCTTTACGATGTCACGAAATTCCATGGTCGCTACGGCTGTTCACGTTCCGCCTTCGTAATCGTCGGTCCTCATTGCTGTAGTCTCCCTCACACTATTCGTTCACATGACCTCAGACAACCGATTACTAATCTCACGACATCCCACACAGTATCACTTTCTCTACCGCAAACTGTCAGCGTCCTCGTCCACTTTGTTCCTTGGTCTCACAACATTTCCTTTTCTAAACTGACTTTCTGTTTAGTGTTCCTTCAGTCTTTCTCTGTATACTTTATTCCCTACGCCGCCTCAGCTCCCTACATATGACACCATCGAGTCATCTTTACAACTTTCCCCCGGCATAAATCGAGAAAACCAAAGAGAACAGGCACATGCACACAAAATATACAAAATCACGGTACATTTACGATCTTCCCAAATCTTCCGAGGAGGTCTGCGGAGTGAAACCTAGGAAACAAATGACAGCGCATTGTATCACTGTAGTGCGCACCACTCTCGCTCAGCGCGCCACACGGCGACAACCAGGACAGACTTCCGTAACGCGTAGTGCTCAACGCCCTCACACCTACCGATTCTCACCCACTCGTCAAGAGATTCCCCACAACTCAGCGTCCGTCCTGACCCGAGAACAAACTCTGCACACGGCGCACCACGACGTCGTGGTCCGTCATACTCCCATTTCGATATTATTTTCGTTGCAAAAACTTGTAATTTCGAAACTTGGTACAGGTGTAATCTCCGTGCTGTAACTTTACTTGTACTCGTATTACCCCGGGGAAAATTTTCTGAGTTCTTTTCTCAAATCCACTTGTTTTTTACACCACTTTTATTATCTTTAGTCGGTGGAGACCGAACCTAGAGTTCAACAGGTGTCCTCGTCGTTATAAAGGCATCCTACCGACGCTCCCTTAAGTTTCGTGACCTCCTCCTTACACACTCCTCTTGCACAGAGTTGGGATTATCTCGCCTACTTCGTCTTTCCGTCTGTCCTCATTTGTCATAATTTTCTCTCAGTACATCATTACGTAACAAATCCGTTTCTGTACGATTAATCTCTGCACCGCCTGCCTTTCCTGCTCCCTTCATCACATCTCACGCTATCCTACGTCGTTCTCCCTGCTCTCTCCTCCTATCACCCGCCTTATCACTGAACTCACTCCCCCCCCCCCCCCATCTATAGAGTGGTGAAGTCACGCCCATCTACTTCCGGTCCATGGGACCTTATTTCGGAAAAATTATGCATTGAAGTCAATGAAGAGAGAAAACGTATCTTTTGATCCCGTTTGAATTGTGCCATGAATTACACATATGATGTTTGTCAATCTTAAAAAATCATTTCCATGTCAAAAAAGTCAAAGTTTGTCGTAAAACTGTTGAAATATAAGACTATGAAAAATACGCAACTAGAAAGACTACAAATCCCAGATTTGTAAGTGATGTCATAACTGTTTTCCTCCACTAAGAGATAGCTAAGATTAGCGTCATATAGATATAATCTATCTATATGGCGTTGGATAAGATAACTTTAACAAGATGCCTGTGTGCTTAGTACCAGGTTGTGATCATACCAGCAATGGGTCTTGCTCGTTCTTTCGCTTCCCGTCTGATGAAAGGAACAGGACCTGTCTGTCCGCTGCACCTACACACTGTACCACACACACACCTACACACTGTACCACACACACACACACCTACAGCTCCTAAGACAGGCTACAGACATTGTGTATTTTATTATGTGAAGCACTAAATGGTTTTAGAAAAATATCGACTCTTTGTTTTTAGATATCTACTAAACTAAAGCAAATAGAGAGTATAGGCCTGTTATACTGAGTGATATATATTTTAAACACTGCTCTGCTTTCTGCACGGACCTCACAGCTGTTCTCACTGTAAACATTGCGTTGCGATGAGAGCAGTTAATAAAATAATATCCAGGGGATGCATGCAGAGCTGTCATTGGCGTGTCACTTGCACACTTTTGGCTGTCTGCGGAGACCAAGTTCCCCCACCTCGCCAAAAAGGCTGTAAAAGTGCTCATTCCCTTCACCTCCGTCTACCTTTGCGAGTGTGGGTTTTCCGCATTGACTTTGATCAAAAAGCAAGTACCAGTCAACCAGGGGCGGATCTACCGGGGTGGAATGGGGTGGCAACTGCCCCTGGTTGACTGGTACTTGCTTTTTGATCAAAGTCAATGCGGAAAACCCACACTCGCAAAGGTANGTTTATTTCCATGCAACTCTGTGATTGGTCTGGTGTCATGCCTCTGTTGCATTCACTGAACACGGGAAATTACAGTCCTGCCGTCCTCTCTTGTGTCATGATGAAGTTCACGTAAAGCACGGTCAATGTATTATATTATTATTATATTATATAAAGCCCCGAATGCCCAGGCCAGGCGACGCCACTGGTTCACACACTGAAGTTGTATAAACGTAGCCGGCCAATCAGGGCGAGCCTACCTGAATGCGCGGGCATGTAAGGCAGCTACACCTCCTGACTGTCATCCTTTTCTCTTCAGTGAGCAGGACAACACCAGGAAAAGGAAAACGTTTGAAAGAAGAAGAAAGAAGTTATCATACCTTCATGGTCTCGCCACTTCTAGAGACCCGGGCCTGTCCTTCGTGCCCTGGCTTAATAGCGGGTGCCGATCCCCACCACCTCTGCTTCGAGAGTTTGGGGGACCAGGATATGGCAGAGGCGGGGCCATTCACGTTCGCCATTCACGTTCGCCATTCCAGCGGGGCAGATGGCTCCGTTTGCCGGGGAGGAGGATGACGAAGACT